ATCCGGGTCCGGAATGGTGAAAATGTGCGATTTCAATGCATTTTCGGCCTTAAAGTGGCCGCCATTTGGCTATCGTTAATGAGATCATGAAACAAATGCACATACATATTTGTGACATGATGTACCTTGTGTGTGTGAAGTTTGAACTTGATCAATCCAAGCATGTCTCAGATACGGATCCAGAACTGAATTCATTAAAACAAAATGGCCGCCAGTCGGCCATTTCGAACCCGATCCAAAAAAAAAAATGACGTGCATCAAGTTCCTATTATGTTTAATGTATGTACCAAATTTGAACAAAATCCGTCCATGCATAACTGAGATCCGGGTCCGGAATGGTGAAAATGTGCGATTTTGATGCATTTTCGGCCTTAAAATGGCCGCTATTCGGCTATCGTTAATCGGATCATGAAAAAAATGCATGTGCATATGTCCCATATAATGTGTGATGTATGAGTGAAGTTTGAACTTAATCGGTCCATGCATGTTCGAGATACAGGTGATCACGGACGCACGGACGGACGGACGCACACAGGGCAAAACATAAGTCCCCGTTTTCGGACTGCGTCCGAACGGGGACTAAAAATATTTCCTAAAATCTTTTTTTGGGGTTTATGTTAATACATGGGATTGTACATCTGATTAAAATAAGAACTATTGTAAGGACTTTTGTATACAAGTTTTTTACTTGTTTATCTGATATTGAGGAAGCTATACATAGATCTGATCAATCCACAACGAAAGTTTCAGTCAAATCTCAAAATCCCAAACTGTGTCTTCAAATTATATGTGCATACATTATAAGAAACTTACGTGTAAGTCTGAGGTCCAATGTTATAAGATGCTACATATTGTTTTCCTCCACTACTTCCATCGTGAATTCCTTTGTCACTGCCACTATCTTTACTGTTTTTGCTGCCAGTGGTACTACTGCCATCACCACCCCTGCTACTACCACCTCCCGTGCCACCTCCTGTGCCACCTCCCTGCCCTTGACCACCACCACCTCTCCACTGTGGTCGTGTTCTTCTACCATGACCGTCTCTAAAGCTGCAGGCATTGCAGATATCTCTGGCTTCAAGTGTACTGAAAAATAACCAAATGACAGTTTAATTAATCTTTTATTTGAGTGTATAATTATATCAAATAGATAGGAGATGCTGTAGTTGTCAGCAACTGTTACTGTGGCAATGATATATTACTGACAATATGAACAAAGTAAACACACTTTCTTGATTCATAATGTTATCAAATGAGAGACTACATTTGGAAAATGTTTGGTTTAAAAGTTAATCTTATAAAACACTTTTAAATAATTACATGTACTATAATATACTTTATTTTTGCTAGGAATTAATTTTTGCTTAATTTACATTCAACTTGTCCAAAATCAGTGTAAATAAATTCCATACAAAACACCAAAAACTTCTTTTTAGCGAAAATTAATTCCAGCTAAAATAAAGTATTTTACAGTATTTGCCTTTTTTAGTGAATTTGGTGCATACCGTAGATTAGAAGAATCTTAAATATCCAATATGGACACAAAAATATTTTGTTAGAAAGTAGAAAAATGTAAAAATTTTACTACTATGATTCTAAATATCTGTGAATCTCAACCACATAAAATCTATGATATATAGTTGAACTTGTCAGATTTACAATTTGTTTTTGCAATGGTATATTTCCTACCAAGACAGAATAAATTTTAAATGTTTTTTAACATCACGCATTTCAGTTAAAACCATGCACATCGCAGCTTTTTTTTTAGGTTTGTCATAATTTCTGGAAAAAAAATGAAAAAAAGAAATCAAAAAATTTCAGGAAAAATCAAAATATTTTTTTTTCGAATTTTATCAGAAGTTGTTTCCAACACACAATATATATTAGTATTTCCTCAAAATCCATTTTCTAGTGAATATTTTTGGATTCGAATATGTTCGTTGTTGAAAGTTGACCATCGCCTCTACCTCCGCTCTGAACACGTATCGGGTCGTCCGGTTTTAGTTTTTGGGTTGCGGGCGGCTTGTACCCATCACGAATTTTAAACTGGGGTTGTCAAGCGTTTCTATGTCGACTTACCAAGCAGTCCGTCCACACATGTTTAACCGTGATGTTGACAGATATATGACGGTGTTTGCGTACGTTTTCCACTTTTATAAACAGTATAGTAGTTAGTAATCGTCTATATATAGTAACGAAGTTGAACCTGTGCAGACATGAAAACTTTTACTCAGCCATTTTGAATATATAATTTCTGAGCAGGCGCAGAACGCTAAAAAAATAAAATCTTGAGCAATCCTTTAACAACTTGATATCTGATATAGAATTTTCGTTATTTACCTTCTCGTGGGTTAATATTAAAGTCTCCACACATTGGGGTACGTTAAACAGGATTTTCCAAAAACTTTAGGCCTTCAAACATCTGTCCAATCACACAGTATGTAGCTCAGTTTAGGTTATTATTAAACCAGAATGAAAGCTAACTTTGGATTGGACCACTATTTTTGATCACGTGAATGTCGTACACATTTTTAATGACGGTTCGGTTCGGATTCGGTGATGACTTTACTCGTGTTGTCACTTTTACTTTTCGCGTTTTACCTAGGATCCATTGATAATATTGTCCAAATTTCGTGCGAGTGAAAACCTTTGAAACCGGAGTATAGAATATTGTGTTCAACGTCGCGATCAGACAATAATAGCGATCGAGGGAAGAGGATACAAAACTTAGTGTCCACAGGACTGTATCGAGATTGCAAACATGGCGGCCGAGCCCAGCGCTTATCAGGTAAAAGTTCGGTGATTTGTAACATGTTCTGTGTTTTGATTACATGATCGCACACACAGTGCTTCTCCGGGCTAGTTTTAGGTTACAAGATTGTCTTCCCTGTGTTTTCTCCCAATAGAGCGAGGCCGGCCGCTTGTCCAGCGTCGGTCATCGTTATGGTGCTGAGTTCGACCTCTCCGACGCCTCCCTGCAGCAGAAATTGGAACAGGTCCGCGAGCAAATAAAAAAGGATATTAGGCGGGAGTTGAAAATCAAGGAAGGGGCTGAAAATCTTCGGAAAGTATCCACTGATAAGAAAAGTCTAGCTAATGTAAATAGTATAGTCAAACAAGCGAATAACAAACTTCAAGAGCTTCAATCTGAGCTGAATGAATTGAATGCACACATCGTTAGCAGTGGATGCGTTGCGGTAGAAGAGCCCAGTCCCGGTAAGTCGTGATCGTACTTCCTTGATTGCACTTCGTATTAATTTTTGTGTTTCCGCAATATATGTAAACAAAAAAATAATACTCAGCCTAGTCTAACCATGCATGTACACATTCGTGTTGTATACAGTCTTGTTGTACGTAGTTCAACCAGAAATACATCCGTCTGTGACCTCCCGGGTTTTAGGACACACACCCACAGCTGTGTCGTTAAAACACCGGTGATCGTCACGCAGTCTTCGTATACATACTAATAATTACGTATGTTGAACATTGTTGTGCAGCCCATGCAATGTGCATGGAAGCAGTGGATCACAGCATGCAATGTTTACAAATTTTTATGATGGAAGTATGGTTTGTTGGGTGTGATCCCGATTTATGAGTCACATATCTGTGGGTGGATTTTACAGTGTAGGTAAGCTGCACAGATATGACTGTGTTCCCATTCTTGCTCAAAATTCTCTAGAAATTGCAAATCATTTATACACTTAACCATGTTGATGGGTGTTTTAAAAAAAATACTTGCAGCACAATGGCATGTTCAAGAGCCTTTTCATGCCATGTTTAGCCCTACTTGCCACATGTGCTTGTTTTCATAGCCTGTCTAGGTACTGTTGATTTGTTTGTTTATATCCTATTATAGAGATTCCTCCTAGTAATATCCTCCTGTTTCTATTTTTAGAACCATGATACACTACCCTTGTTGGTGGTAATCATGCCTCATAGTGGTGTCTAACCTCCCTCCTATATATTAGTAGTACTTCCTGTTTAAATTTCTCCCAATTCTCAAATCCTGTCTGCAGATCAATATCCTAGAAACATGCTTGTCATGCAGCCACTCTACTCATGCTACCATCTCACTAATTATGACCCTTGACCTAAATTAAAATAATACAGTAATTATTATTCATGAACTGTTTGTTGGCTTATGGTTTAAGGATTATAACTGTTGCACATACTGTTATATGCAGATTGAGATACACACAGGTAATTCACATATTTCAGTTATGTCAAGGTCATGTACAAATTAGTTTATGAAGTTGTGTTATGGGTTTGATAAAAAAATGAAATTGATTCTGTGCAAACAGCTCAAAATAAACATAATGTAAAGTGCTTTGATTTCACACATTTTTATCAATTATATAACTCTTGAATAATTATGAAATTTCATAGCGCTTATAATGTGGCTATGGTTAGTTTTAGACATGGAATTACACCCCTGATTTTATACATAATTAAACTGATATTCATGATGTTTAATTGTCACACCTGATCCCTAGTCGCAAAAAGCAAAACAGTATGTCAGGCACCCATTTCATTGTCAACATTTGTATAAATTCTCTGGACTGATTGAAATAGTGACAGAAATTTTGACTATTTTGAAGCGCATCAAAACATTGGGTGATCTGCGAAAAAAAAAAAAACGATTTGATTTTGAATTTAAATCTCCTTTTTATAGCTCAGTGCCAAAATGCTGAAAAGGGTTTATTGCATTGAGATACCCTTACGTCATTTAAATTGACCAACATCAAATGTGTATAGCACATTGTTGAATGTGGAAATATCCCAAAATAGTATGGCGTTAGTTAATTCACATGCGATGCTGTTACATCACTACAACGCAATGACCTTTGTTTGTCCTGTTTTGACGTACGATTTCACGCATAATCCAGGATATCGCAGTGAACGGATAATGGTCTATTGACTCTTATGCCTTCGTAAGTTTCGAGTTGAGATATGTAAATATGGTAATTAGTTAAGAATTTTATGCAAATCATTATATAAGAATTCAATACATAAGATAATTTTATCCCATGTACAATGAATCTATCTGATGTTCTGCCTGGAATTGAAACATTAATGACTCAAGTGACATATCAAGTATCAATCAACTTCTTTTAAAGTGATTACAGATTAGGTTTTGACTTTTTAAAACTAGTATTGGTGATTTTTGCCAACTCCCCAGTATAATAATAACTTATTGATTTTTAATCAATATTTTCATTATGTGAAATTACAGATTTTAAACCTGTGTAACTTGTCAGAACTGGATATAAAAGTAAATTACCAATTATATACTGTACATTGTAAATTGGTGATTATTCGTATTGCACTATTGCATGCACTGGTGGAGTGTAGATTTCAGCAACAGCTGGGTTTCTCCTTGTTGAATCCTATTACTGTACTGTGTGGGATTGTAAAGCAGCTGTATCCCCCTGTTCCATGACCTTGGCACCGCTATTCACTGTAAATGGAATAGTTGACATAGAAAATGACTCTAACCATGTTTTTAATGTGTCAAAAACATTAAAATTAATGCTCAACCCCAATATCACAAGCTCTAATTCATAATTATTTTGATATTTCTCAGAGTAGATTTTATACCATGCTGTTTCCATAGAATCAAGATGATAAGTCTCTCTTCTTGTCTTACCTGCCTCGTAATGTTTACACTGTGTGTAAATTTCCAAATAGTTATAAATTACCAATTGAAAAATTAAGATACCAAAAAATATCCTCAGAGCAAAGATTTTGCACACTGTGTTCTGATCAGTCTGTTGGTGATGAAATGCATGCTCTTTTTGACTGCAAACTGGATGAAATTGTAAAGGCTCGTAGCTACTTTTGAAATACTCTATCATTATACAATGATAATATTTTAAAATTACCAAAAGAAGATATGTTTGTGCATACATGTATTATGGGAATAAAAGACAGATTCATTGCAATGTAATACCTAATAGTTGTTAGTGTTATCTGTTTTAACATTTTTTTTTTTTTTAATATCTGTATTTCTTGTTATTGTGTTGTTGTTTTTTTGTGTATGATTATTGACCATGGTTAATGTATTTCCAATTCATTAATTTGAGTCAAATAAAATATACTATACTACTATACTAGTTATTTACAGTATGAATCATCACATCCTACTAGAATGAAGGACTCCATACCTTACTCGCAGTTACTCCGGGTACGTCGTATTTGCAGCGATGATACTGATTTCCGTAACCAGGCGAGGATTTTATGTGATTATTTCAGAAAACGGGGTTATCCTCGTAATGTCACTGGGAAAGCAT